TGGAACTAAGGCCGAGAAAAAATATTACTTGATATTATTTTTTCTAGGTTCATTCGAAGTGCAATTGATATCTAATGGAATCTGAGTCACATTACATTAATGGCAAGTATTTTGTTAATCTTGCCTGTCCTGCTATCTATCAAGTGACTCTGAAATTCTTCTGCTCCTCTGGGCAGCTCACCAATCCAGGGTCTATAGACATTTGCCAGTTCCCTAGCAACGAAAACGCAAGCCTGTTTGCACCATTGTTGATCGTCATGTAGTTTAATCTAGGTGTAGCCAGAGAGTCGATCAATTCCAGATTTGTTAACAAGCAAAGTTGATATAACCTGGTCTCTCTCGTTCACGTATGAGTGTGTTGGCTTGCACTTGACAAAGTATATTGTTTCATTGTAAAAAATAAAACGAATAAAAAAAAAATTACAATTGTAACATTTTAGTAGGATTTAGTATTTTATATAAGCAAATTAAATTACCTTCATTTTATAATTTAATTAATCGCTATATTTATCAAGAATTAAAGCAGGTACGGAAATTAACCTGTCTTAGAATTGTTATAAAAGACGACGGAATATAGGACTCAGAAATCCAGACAAAGACTGTAAAGGCGAAAAATGTATTCTAAAATCTGTATAATGTATTAAGAAACAATGCGAATTCGTTATAAACAAAGAAAAGAATGCTGAAATGCTATAAAATGGAAATACAAAGCATATTGTCAGTGCCAGCAAAAATAAAACGATATGTCAAAAGGACGCTTTTCCGCTTGACACCGCTATCAATTTAAATCTTTTCACTTCTTTGCAATATTTACTATTTTAAAAACCGATTATCAGAATTTTAATAAAATCCAAATACATCAAAGTGAATTGATATATTTTCCTTATTCTTTGAGAATTTACAACCAAAATATAAACACTATTTGTTTATGTACAAATTACTTTTATACAACGTTCTAAAAATGTGACCCAACTAGTACAATGCAATGTTTATCATTCACCAATTGATAAAGAAATAAATATGAAAATAATTTTTTTATTCCTCAATTTATAACAATTTACTAAATCATAAAAATATTTGAAATATAATGACATCTCTATTATTTGCTATTTGATAAAGTTTTAATTGATTGTAAATTCGCCGATAATAGGCCAACTAATTCCAAAGAAACCCAGTTCGTTGAAAATTTTATTGGTTCTTATAAATGTTTGAATAAAAAAAATATTTTCAAATTTATTTCTTTATAAATTGAGAAATAATAAATATAGCATTGTACTTAATTCACATAATTTTTATAATCTTGGAGATATTTTTAACTGTTTCTCTGAGAAAGCGGTTGCATAGCGATGACAGTTAATATATGAAAGTTTCGATCTTTCAATTTAAGTATTGGTTACGACTTAGCTTCTCGGCTTTAGTCATGATCCTACTGCCGTAATCTAGTTTCCTTGTACCTTTTCTATAAATACTTTCCTGGTAATTATTCTGATGAACTTTCCGCTATGGTACCTAGACTTCATGAATTTAAGCGATTAGATTAACAACAAGAAATCATCCTTTTATAGTGGAATTGGTTAGATGTAAACGTAAGTAAATAGTTTCTTTTCTCGCGTTAATCACTTGTGGAACTCTCTTCCGACTCCATACTTTCTAACCAACTTTGATTTTCAAAAGGTTAAATGCAATGTCAATCGTTATATAGTCTTCCTGATTACTCTTCTATTGTTCTCGCTTCTTAGTGTACATCTTTTTTTCTTATTCTTTCTCATTCAATGACATCTGCTGTCTTAGGGGCTTTATTGTCTTGCATGGGGTGAAAGGATTCAAAAGAAAAAATGTCTCGAGTTGTATCGCAGCTTATTCTATGTAGAATTTCCTTATTTTCTATACTAAACTTTTTATATACCGCGGTATTTGAAGAGTTTAGTATTTGCTAATTCCATCTCTTGAATTTTTATGTGTTTTTTAATTCCCGATCATAGATTCTCTTTTGGGAAAGTTTATATTTCCTATTTCTTGGAACACTTGGTAGAAAATGCCAGCGATTTTATATCTGTAAATATTGTGATATTTATGTTCATTACAAATCAATACAGATTGATAAATATCTCGATATAACTAAAATAAGAAAGGAGCTTTGAACTCCGTCAAATGTTAAGTGTGGGACAGCTATTAAAAATTCCTTATTTGAGAGTCTGACAGCCTACGATTTTTTCCAAAGTCGAGGCCATTACTCACAGGAGGGATATTTTTATCCTTTGTCTGCTGAAAAGTAAAAATAATCTTCTCATGACAGTTACAATTAAAATAAATAAAGTGTAAAAATTAAAAATAAAAGTAAAAGTGTCGCGTAAAAATTCAGAAGCGTTCCTAATTGAGGCTTTTCTCAAAAGATTTTAGACAACTATAGTTTAACGATTACACCAACTCCAGGACTTATCGCTATGACATAAAATAAAAAAAAATAAAAAATTCCAACCAATCAGTATTATTTATGATTACTAATACGCACCTACTCTACTGTGATTACTAATATGCACACTACTCCAAGGTAATAATAAAAGTTGCTAAAGTGACAATAAAACCAGCTGAAACAAGTTCGCACAAAACCGTTACAAGCGTTAAATGCCTGAAATAGCCATCAGATAGACACTCCTCACTTAGCGACTAGCTCGTTTAGCGACGAGATCATTGGTACCGAATTTGTTCATTAATTGAAGATTAGTCCCATTCTTATTTTGGGATCATTATCTCCTAGCATAAAATACAAATTAACGATTGTAAATTTAATATATGGACAAATTTAATATATGAACAAATAATTCTTTTTTAAATTTACGAGTAACCTCGCCGAAAAATATTAAAATATTTTTTTCTAGTTTAAATTTCAAATAATTGTTGACTAGATTTTATTGATAGTTATCCGAATTTGTAATTTAATTTTCTCGTTTTTTCGTCAACTCGTTTACACGTCTGATCTTCCCTAACGAGAAACACCAATGATTGATTTTACTGGAAATATGCAAGATACAATAAGCAGAAAAATTATAAATTTCTTCTACGGTGGTTGTGGAGGGAGAGAGACGTGACAAATTTATCTTAACAAAAGTAGTTAGCGATTCAGAAATATTAGGTAGAACTATGTTACACACATTTGCTACCCATTGTTACATGGCGCGACTTAATAAATGCTGACATGGAAATTATGTTTTCCAATATACACATGCAGTGTGGGATATTTAACATCAATAAAAAAAATTAAGATTTTCTACATCTACAGCGTTTCCGTTAGGTGAATAATTTTAACTGACGTTGTTTTCTTTTTTTTTTGTTTTTTTTTACTCGGTGGAGAAAGTAAAGAGTTAAAAACCATTAAAAGTTGGCTTACTTAAAACTTTGCAAATACTATCCAGACATTTAATATTAGAGGAGTCGAAAAAAAAAAAAAAGAAAAAGCAGGAATAATTGTCACGGAACGTTGATAATTTGACCATTGATTTATGTTGTCTCCATGAAATCGAAATTAAAGAAAGCCTTGATATCAATATCTAAGTTGGAACAAGTTAATAGCTTTTGTCATCGATACCAAATAAAAGAATAACATCCATATATATTGGATGAACAACGAAAGTATATACATTGAACAACGACATTAAAAGAAATATCAATAAAATTCCATCACCCCCCCACTCCTAAAAAAAAACAAAAACTTTGAAGTGAGTGGAAAGTATGCTGCACTTTCGTGAACTCGTAAATACCGAGAGATTTGGAGAGGACTGATAAAAGTTGCTGAAGAAGAAAAATCACCAGTCGAAACAGCTTTGATGATGATGATGTTTACATTTATATCCCTCTTTCTCAATACATACATATGATGCCAACACTAATATTGATTAATTTGTTTTCTACGGTTTGTCAACACTTTGTAGATTTTATAAAAAAAGAAAGAAAATATTTTTAGATTGCAAGAATATTTGGCGATACAATTGGCTGGTCAACTCTAACGCCTCAAAAACTAAACTGCTCTCTATTAATCACCATAGAGATCCTTCCCTACCCCCCATTAGAATGTCTGATAGTCAACTTCTTGAGAGCAGCTCCCTGCGTCTGCTCGGTCTCACGTTGACTGCTAACCTGAGATAGTCAATTCCACCGCGAGGAAAGTTGGCTCTCTGTGCCGCGCCAGGAAATTTTTCTACCCGGAATCGATATTTCATATATACAAGTTAATTCAACCATTCGCCCCTTGCATGAGTATTGCTATCGAATATGGTCTGGGGCACCTTCTGTTTACCCCGGAGTTCTTGACAAGATCCAGAGGCGGATATGTAATATAATTGCGCCTGATCTGGCATCTCGTCTACAGTTGCTCTCTCACAGACGCGCCGTCACCTCTCTGTTCCGATGAGCTGCTTTCACTGGTTCCCAGACTCCATGAATTCAAGCGCTCTACGAGGCTGGCATCTATCCACTATCCTTCTCCTTATCCTTTCTCCTATCACTCCTATCTTCTCTCGCTCCAAATCTTCTGCAACCACCTGCATCCTAGTGGCTTCACGCCTTGCTCGGGGCGTAATGCTTAAAAAAACAAAAACAAAAAACAAGATATGCTACCCATTTTCCTTGGGAGTCTTGAAGTGATGTACCTTTTAAGTATTTGGTAAATACCTTTGTTTGGAATTCATTGGCGCAAGTCTATAAGATCTGATGAAGAATATTCTTTTATTTCAGTTTGATTTTTTATTCGCTTTTTTATGGTTTATCAACCCTTTGCAGGTTATTTAAAGCCAGTAAATATTTTTAGATTGAATGAATCTCTTTTTTTTAGATAATAATGATCTAGTGATACAAGTCTTACTAATTTACCCATAGCTGGGGGAAGACATGGATTCATGCCTTTCCCAAGGTTATTTGGAAGTGAATATAACTAACCCAACTGGAATTGACACCCGGCCTTCTGATTAACAATTCGAAGCCATTACACCACCCGCACACCCAAGCTTACAGCACCTGTCATTCTCAAGCGGTCACCCATCTAGGTACTGACCAGGCTCAGCAATGCTTAATTTCGGCGATCGTACGAGAGCAGGTGTTTTTAGCCTGATGTAGCCCTAAAACTTATTTTAGCATTTTATTTCACGTGTGAATAATTGGCAATATGGTTGTTTAATTTGAACCATTGCTTTCAACTTGGTTGATAAAGATATAATTATAGACAAACCTTTCGAACAAGTACTCTCACGGCATCATCAGGTGTCCACGAATTGGCTGATATTGGATATTTGTTAAATATGGTGGTGTTTTGTCCGTGTGGTGTCAGTTATTGGTCGGTTGTGCTGAATCGGCACTTTACTACCTGATACATGGATTGAACTCACGACCACTAAATGACAGTAACACATGTATAAACGTATCATATATCCACTAGGCTATCGTCCTGAAGAAGAATCGTCTCGAGTTAGCCCCCATCCCTAACGATATATCTTTAGTCTGATGAAGTCCGTTAATGACCGAAACTCGTTAGATAATTTTTGCCAAGTTGTCATTCAATAAACCCAACATTGTTCTGTTTTATACAAATACATCATATTAGCGGTAGAATCTGTCTTCGAACGAGTGTTTCATTATTGGGAATTTTGCCGTTCAGTTGGAACAGTTTAAGTTGAAAGTCAGCACAACTGAAAATTATTATTATTAACAACATTTGGGTGAAACTGAGGCACATCCCCAAATGGGTGTGTTAACAATTTAAATGGGTGTGGCTCTGAAGAGGGCCGTTTTTGCGTTCTCAATCTTGCAAGGAAGGAACCTCTTCCATGAACCGCCATAATAATATACGATAATTTTTATTTATAATATAATTTTTTTATAATTCTAATAATCTTTTCTGTTAGATTTCAACTCTCTAAATTGATTGTACACTTTTTTTTTACAGACATTAAATTTTGCCTTCAATTTTTGCGCAAAGTGTAAAAAATCATTTGTTTTCTACTTTTCCCCTTCAGGTTGTAAATTTTTTGCCAATCAGTTTGGACTCAAAACCAGCACTGAAGAATTATCTATCAAACAAAAAAAAAAAAATCGAAATCGGATGAAAACTGTGGCAACGCATAAACAACATTCGATATTACACACACACATACATACATACATACATACACACATACATACATTTTGAGATTTATAAATATAGATTCCCACATACAGATACGTCCAAATTACCCTGCGTCATCAAAAAGCTCTTTTATCTTGTGTTAATCTGAATCAAAATGTCAAGTCTAAACGTTTTTCCCCCTTGATTATTTGCAACTCTGAAAGCTTCTTTCTTTCATAAAGTCTTTTGCTATCGGAAAACAGTATCCATGGTAACAAGCTTTGCAAAGCCGTCATTTTGATGGCATTCAAGTGCCATACATTCAGTCTAATGATAGGTTTTTCGGTACATTGGGATGACACCAATGAGATAATAATACATTTTTCAAGCATTCATTTACCAATCAAATAATGACGCGCTTAGAAGACATTCACTGCCTGGTAAGTGCGTTAGAAATTAACAGAATATAAAACAAAATGAATAATATTGTATGATTTAAAACATACTATGAATGGTCAATATACTGTTCTTATATCATATACGATACTTTCATCGGTATGTAATTGGCTTACTAATAATCTATCTATCTATCTATCTATCTATCTATCTATCTATCTATCTATCTATCTATCTATCTAACTGTGAGTATAGAGATACGTCAGTCATTAAAAATCAGTTAATAGATATTTTAATACATTATTTCTTATTGCTACAAAGTATTATTTAGTGAGAATACATGTTTGAATAGACGACAATGTTATTTTTGTTTGTCTACGAGAGAAAATGCGACTACCCTTATTAAAATGTATCTACTATTTGGTTTCCTATCATGAGGGACATCTTCATTAATACATTCAGGCCGACTTTAATTTCAGTGTTTATTTTTTTTTTTTTTAAAAACATATATGGATGTGTTCAAAACAAACTTATTAATAAAAACAAAAAAGACAATAAAATGTTTTGTTTTTCTATTTTGTATATATATATATATATATATATATATATATATATATATATATATATATATATTATACACTTGGAGCTTATTTACGTCGATTTGTTTGCTCACTTCCATTTGACTTTAGGATTTTAAAGTCAATTTATAGTAAACCTTTCCAGCCATTCCTTTAACTACAAGGAGCCGTTGTTAGATTTATGTATGGTGAAGCTTTCATATTCTATTTATTTTTATTATTTCACCCCAAACAAGGAGATAATGCCACTAAGATGCAAGGGCCTATTGGTAAGGAAAAAGAATAAGAAGACTTTAGAAGTAAGCCGAAGGGAACCGATTCTAAACAGGAAACAAGGGAGAAACCTCTATTCCCAAACGCAGAATGAAGAATCATGTGACCTCCTAGTGGCATCCGGTTTTACAACCACAGGCAAATATCGCAAAACACTTATTTATAAAAGTGGGGATTTGGATTGTCTCTCAGACATAAGAGACGTGAATATATGACCCATATTCGTATGGGCGCTCCACGTAGCCGCAACAAAAACACTGACCAAGAGTAATGGATGACGTTTTGGAGTGGAACACAATCTAATGTTAAATATTTAGATTTAGTCATTTGTATTATTATTAGTCAAACTAGTGATATATTCGCGCTATTTTTTCTACTTGATTACGTTTATTAGTGTTAAAACTATTATAAGTAGTTTAAAAAGGCAAACTAATGTTCAACTACAACGACTTAAAAAAAAGATGCCTTATACTAATGTCAAGATGGAACAAAGCCGATTTAAAGATCTGCATATGACTTCATTATATCAACTCTTTCAGTAGCCCAATGGTTTTCTTGTAACCTTTTTTTTCAGCTTCAACCTGCTTAAAGCGGTCTATTTTCAGTAACACGGCACCTATGAAAACGCAACAACTATTTTCGATTTCTCAAAGTCCAAAGATACTACTGATAAAAGCAGGCAGCTAAACTTTTTATTAAAATAACGATGTATAATAATTAAATAGAGTTCGTCCAGAACTTTTGCGCGCCAGTTTGTATAGCGTTGTGTATTTATGTAGGTATGTGTGTATATTTAAACTACTGTGTATATGTGGATAAAATGAAAAGGAAAAAAATTTCTTTACCAACGCGTTTTGTCCCCTGGGACTATATCAAGGAGAATTCACACCAACACCACAAAAGCCAAATGTAGCAGAAATGAAGGATAATGTTTTGGAATTCTGTAGAAAACTAAGGCTAGCAGAACAATTCTTTGAAGAAGAAGAAAACAATGACAAACCACTAGTAAAAAGCAAGAAAGATTATCAACCCCCAAAATGTAAAAATGCAGCCCTCGATTAAGTCTGTAATTACATCTCTAACTTCCCGTTTGACAAACTTGAAATGCCACAAACAAATCCAACTTTAAAAGACAAGATCGGGACCAACTAAACGACCTAAAATTGGACAAAAATATTGTTATAAAAGAAGCGGACAAAGGAGGCGCTGTTGTTATTAACAATACAGAACCGTATAGAAGCATCATACGGAATATGGTACAGGACGGTACCTACTTTGAAGAAGCCAGAGAATACCAACCTCACAAAGTGATGAAAAAACTCATTAATTTTATACACGCATACCGGAGAATTTTAATTCGAATGAACATGCCTACCTTATAAACTTTAGATATAAAACCATAAATTTTTATGCAATACCTAAAATACAGAAAAGTAAGCTCATTACCGAAACATGCAACACTCCAAAAACTGATTGCGTGAATATACCGGCACCAATCGACATAAAACTAAGACCTATAATATGACGGCCCAATTTGTGAGACACACCGTCTAAGCAATTTTCTAGACAACCTATTGAAACCTCTTCTCAAACACGTTCGGAACTTCATTCGAGATGATCTAGATTTTCTGAATCATCTTCTCAACGAGATAAACCATAATACTTATATGGTCTCAATTGATGTTGTGAACTTTTGTAGCAACATCCCACATGACTACTGAATAGAAGTCACAAAATACTGACTAGAAACGTTTCTTCGTGAGCTACCAAATAGTTACAAAGGAAATCCCATCATAGAAAGCCTAGAATTCATCTTAAAAAAACAGTTATTTAGTGCTCAACGAAACACCTTACCGACAAAAATCAGGAACAGCCATGCGGACAAAGATTGCATCAACATATCCCAACCTTGTCATGGGATACCATGAACTAAAAATCTATGATAGAACCTCGGAAATCTATGGGGATGACTTTAGCTGTAACATAAAAGAAAACTGGAAAAGATGTCTAGATTAGCGTTTCATTCTGTGGAATGAAAGTCTGGATAGACTAAAGATTTTCCAGACATGAATTAATAATATAAATCCTAGCATCCTATTCACTAGGGAGTACAGCAACAAAAAAACATGCCTTTTTTGACACATTAATAACAAAAACAAACACTAAACTATAAAAATATACTTTAAAACGACTGACTCTCAACAACATCTCCTTTTTACATCTTCTCCCCTGAAACACACCCGTACTAACATCCCACTAAACCTAGCCAAGCGGATATGTACAATAAGTTCAAACACAACGACAAGAGACCACAGACTAGAATAGATGAAAAAAATGTTCATTAAGAGAAAATACTCACAAAATTTGGTCGATAATAGTATTGAAAAAGCAAAACAAATTAACATCCACACACTCCGTGAAACAAAAGGAAAAAAAGAGAGAAAAAAAAGTAATCCCTTTTATCTTAACTTTAAACCCAAAGAACACAGAATCTACACACGCATACAACTAAATCTACCAATTCTACTAAAGGACAAAAAATTGAAAAACCTATTACAAAAATATCCAATCATACAAAGTAAACAACAACTTATATCACAAAAAAAATTACAGAGCAGTGCAAAAACGCAGAACACAAGACCCTCAGGTGAAAAAAAAATGCAACCGATCACTTTGCGGGTTATAGATGGCCATGAATTTCAGTTCAAAGACGGATCAAAATTAAAAATTAAAAATGATTTATCGTGCCACTCAGAGAATGTAATATGCAT